TGGTCAACGGCTCAAACGCAATCAGACAGAACTGGCTGCTAGCTTTTCAACCTCTCCGAGCCAAAGATGCCTCATCTCATGCATCTGAGCCCAAACCCCCCAGTATGAATCACACCGTCCCTGACACCCACCTGCACTGCCTGGACCCGGCAGGGAGGAGCCAAGAGGATCAAGGAGGTGTTCTGTTTTTCAGGCCAGGCAGCATATTCCCAGACACAGCCCCCTGGCCAGGGATAGGCCCTGGAGGGCCCGGGATCCTGGACTGGCCTGAGGCATCCCCCCAACCCCCATGCCATTGAACAAAGGAGAGGAGGCCCCTGAGTTAGAAGCAGAACTGGAATGGATCACAGGTCTCAAGCCTCCGGGGACAGTGCTCCCTCTACAACAGGCCCTCAGGTCCTCTCAGGTCATTTCAGATCCAGGCCCCAGGAGACCAGTCTTTCCCTCTTGGCTTTACCACCAGGATATCCAGAGTAAGTAAATCCCTAGACAGAAGGCAGATTGGTGGTGCCTGGGCTAGAGAAAGGTGGGAGTGGGGAGTAAGTAACTAACTGCTTCATGCGGACAGGTTTCCTTTTGGGGTGATAACGTCGGAACTAGATAGAGGTGGTGGTTGCACACGTTGTGAATGTACTAAATGCCACTGAATTGTTCACTTTAAAATGGTTAATTTTCTGTTATGTGAATTTCACCTCAATTACAAATAAGGGTAGCCAGGGACGCCTGGGTGGCTCAGTCGGTTAAGCATCTGCCTTCAGCTCAGGTGGTGATCCCAGGGTCCTGGGACTGAGTCCCACATCAGGCTCCCTGCTCAGTGGGGAGTCTGCTTCTCCCTCACACTCTCCCCCTGTGCTCTCGCCCTCTCTCTCAAATAAATAAATGAAATCTTAAAAAAAGAAAAAGAAAAAGAAAGAAGGGTACCTGGAGAGAGATTAAAGGAGGAAGAGGGCAAATGCCAAGGGGGGGCAGGAAGGTGAAGGAGGGCTGAGGTATGGGGGGGCATTGCAGAAACAGGGTGGCTTGAGGTGGGGGAACAATAAGAGGGAGAGTGGTCCAGAGGATACAGCCAGTTCAGGCAGCAGAGTTTGAGCCTTGGACTTGGGGAGCCAACTGCCTGTGGGGGGGAGGGGGAGAACCAGGGAGGGAGCCTTTGAGCTGTTTGCTTCCTCTGAGTTTAGACTGGAAGCTAAATCTGGGGGAGGGGGCAAGGACCTCATCTTTTTAGCTGTTTTTAATTTTCAGAGCAGAGCTTCATCACAGGTAGATGGTTCTTTTAAAAACCCTGGTGCCAATGGAATGATATCGAACATGTTAAGCAGCAGGAAGATTATCCACCGCCCACATCAGAGAAGTGAGGATGGCCCTGGGCTGAGTGTGTGTGTCACTCAGGGCAGCAGGGGGGCTGCCTGACTTCCTGGGGCCCAGAGGCCCTGCCCATCACCCCCTGCACGCCCAGCGTCCCGAGAGGGCAGCACCCACCCCACCGGGGTCTGGGGTGGGGGAAGGGATTGGGTGAGCACCATGGGCTCCTTTGTCAGACCCAGGAAGGAGAGTGGGGGCAGCTACAGGAAGTAGGAGGGTGAGGAGTTCCCTCCGGAATCTATCCCCCCACTTCCCTCCCCTGCGCTTGCACAGCTCCTGCACATGCTCAGTGTGCCCATGAATTGGGTTGGCTGGGGGAGGGCATCGACTGGCACCCCCACTTAAAGGGCCAGTGCCATCCTTGCTTACACCCAACAGGAGCAGTGGGAACTGGCCACCCTCTTCCCTCATACTGATCACTTCACCTCAGACCCCCTTCTTCACTTCCTGCAGACTCCTCCTTCCCCCCCCACCCACCGCCTCTGGACGCAGGAGTTTCCACCTGGGGTGGAGGGAGTCCTTGGTGGGGAAGAAAGGAGGATGTGGGTGGGCGAGGGTACACAGGCAGGGGTGGTAGGAAGCTTCACTCCTGTGAAATATCTGCCTCTGTGGGCTTCCCTCTCCTGGCCCAGGTGACCAAGAAGATCCTGGATGGCGCCTGGGTGGCTCAGTTGGTTAAGCGACTGCCTTCGGCTCAGGTCATGATCCTGGAGTCCCGGGATCGAGTCCCGCATCAGGCTCCCTGCTCAGCAGGGAGTCTGCTTCTCCCTCTGACCCTCTTCCCTCTCATGCTATCTCTCATTCTCTCTCTCTCGAATAAATAAATAAAATCTTAGAAAAAAAAAAAAAAAAAAAAGATCCCGGAAAGCCAATGGGCATGAGGAAAGGAAGACACTGAACATTTACTCTAGAAAAGCCTGGAGGGGAAAGGGGAATGTGTCTAAGCCCAGCTTTCCCCAGCTGAGGGGGTGTATATGGGGTGGGGGCTGAGCGGGGGGTTGCTGTAAAGTTGGAGCTCTGTCACTGTGGTGGGGCAGGGAGAAGCCCAGGCCTCGGGGCCCGGCAGCCCGAGAGGGGGAAAGGCGAGAGGCAAGAGGAATCCACAGCTGGCCACCACCTGGAGCCGGGCTGCCCCTCCCCAGTACTGCCAGAGACACTCCAGCTCAGCCCTGGGGCTCCTGGGCACTGAGGTCAGGAAACCAGATGGGGGGAGGAGGTGACAGACTCTTCTTCACCGACCCCTCTCAGTGAAGACACTTTCCTCGCTCACGCTGTTCTCCTTTTGTTTTCTTCTTGCCCCATCCTGTCTTCCACCAGCCTTGGGAAAATAAACCCACCTTGATGTGGCCCTGACCAAGAGCCTGTGAGTGAGTGAGTGAGTGAGTGAGTGTGTAGGGGGTGGGGAGGGCCAGCGGTCAGCTTTCCTCTCTCCGGGCTGCTCAGCTTATCCTCACCTGTCCCCTCCCCGGCCCCTCCCCCTGTATGTAGCTCTGGCCTACTCAGGGACGCGCGGGCCCAAGCCGCCTCCAGGACACACGCCCAGCACCTCTCCCTCACACCACACCCCTCCCCCAACACGCCAGCAACCCCCTCTGGAATCTTCTCTCCACTCCTAGTCACACACACACTGCCCCGGGTAAACAACCTTCTCCAACCAGGCCCAACCCTCTCCCTCTGGGCTCCCTGGCTCCCTGCTGAGGAATGCAGCAGCTGGGAGGCTGACTTGGGGCTGCCTGGGGCTGCCTGCGCCTTGCCCAGGGGTCTTTGGATCCCTGGCTAGCACCCCACAGGGGAAGGCAGGCTAGGAATTCTGGAAAGCCACTCCCTCTCTGAGCCTTGGATTTCCCATCTGTAAAGTGGGGACACTCATTCCTCTGGCCTTTCCTGAGCTGTTCGGGATCAAAGAGAAGGAGGCTAAAATCTTTGGCAGAACCCCGCCCCCACCCCCGTCCCCACCCCCACCCCCACCCCCACCAGGGACAAGAGAGTCTGCTCTTTCTGAAAACCATCCCTTCCTAGAATCTGTTCTCGCCTTGCTTCCTCGTTGAAGGCACTGGCGAGGCCTGGGTGTGGCAGCGCAGAAATGAAAGCTGTCCGGGCAACACACAGGGCTCGTCAACATTTCCATCCCAGCGGCTCCAGAGGCCCGATCCCTTCTCTTGCCCAATGTGGCCTGTCAAGATGAGCCTTCCTGGAATGGAAGCTAGGCCGGGCCAGGCCTCCGCCCCTCCCTGTGCGCGGTGGCAGAGCAACCCGGGCTCATTGGTGAGGTGGCTAACTTCGCTCTCCAGCGCCCCCCTGAGCTCAGCAACCAGCAAGGACTCTGGAAGGGCGACGGGAGTGAGACCAGGGTCTGGGGAAGGGTGGTTCTGAGGGAGGGTTTCCGGGAGCTCAGTTCAGAGCCCAATACTGGGGCGCATGGGGGCGGGTCCGCATTATCCCAGCTAACTCGGCTTCCAATCTTCCAGACAGGTGAGGGCTCACCTCAGCGGGGACGGAGCACACAGGTGGTTCGGCGAAGGAGCAGGAGGTACAGATGCACAGTGGGCGCCAGGGAAGCCAGGCCATCAGCTCTGCTAAGGACTGATTTGCTGCCCACCCTCGCCTCTTGGGCTTTTTTTCCATTAGGAGAAAACTTCCCTTGGGGCGCCTGGGTGGCTCAGCCGACTAAGTGTCCCACTTGTGATTTTGGCTCAGGTCAGGATCTCAGGGTTGTGGGAGCCAGCCCTGCATTCAGGTCCCCGCTCAGCGTGGAGTCTGCTTTTCCCTCTCCCTCTGCCCCGCCTACTCACGCGTGTGCGCGCACTCTCTCAAATAAATAAAACCTTATGAGAGAGAGAGAGAGAAAACTTCCCTTGAGTGCTTACTTGTAAGTGCCCTTCCAGGAGGTTAGGGGGCAAAAGTGATGACTAACCTCCTACCCAACCACTGGCTTCCAGGTACGGGGTGGGGGGGGAGGGGGAACTGTCAAGGACAAGGAGACACAAGGCGTCCAGACCTCATCCGGCACTATGGGGGGAGGACAGGGAGAATGCAAGGGAGCCTGGGAACAAACGCTGAAGGCACCCCTCCTGATATTATGCCCTGTCTCCTCCAGGGACACCCCCAGCCCCTCACAGCAATCTGGCATCTGAAGTCAAGTTCTGGCCGAACCCGGTGGTTCCTGAGCCCCACCCCACCCCTGCCTCTTCCTCTATAAAACTTTCAGGGCAGCCTGATTGTTCCCGGACACACAGAGCGGAATTCAGGCATCCTGGAGGTCTTGGTGGTTTCCCAATAATGAAGTCTGCGGGCTTCCCAGGCTTGGGGCAGGACAAGGACTGGGGCCCCAGTCCCAAACCTCTCTGGGACACATATGCTCTGACTCTCAGAGCAGCCCTAGTGAAATCAATCCTAGCCACTCCCATTTGAGCTCATGAAAATCATTTAATTTCTTTGTGAAAAATAAGACATCAAGGAACAAATTAGGGAAATGACGAGGTGGAAGGCTGAACCTACTTTCGTTGTTCTCAGGGGGCACAGGGGTGCTGGCAGTGGTTTTCATCTGTCACCTGCCTCCCCGAGCGGCAGCTGGCCTGAGCGCGTAATGAAATGGGACCTGGTCCTCAGGGCATCCTGGCTGAGGGGTCAGGTCCCCCTTAGGGGCCGCCGCCTCGGTTCCACAGGGCGTTCTCCTGCCGCAGGCGCTGGTTCTCGGTCCGGAGCCTCTCGACCTCAGCAGTCAGCTCCTCCGCCCGGCGGTGGGGCTGCCGGCCGGCGCACCCCCGCAGCTGCTGCAGCCTCCGGGTCTCCTCCTCCTCGGCCTGCGACAGCCGCCTTTCCGGGTCCAGGTAGTCCCGACCCAGCTCCTGCTGGCTGCGGCCCTGCAGGCTCTCCGTGTGGTAGCGCTCGAAGGCCTCGGAGAAATCCGTCTGCTGGAACTCGCTGGGAGCCCGGCAGCGCCCATCGCCCTCCCCGCTGGAGCCCGGGGGGTAGCCCCCGGGGGGCACTTCCAGGTTGGGCTCCTCAGGGGCGCGGTCGTTCATCAGAAACTGGGTGGTGTTGTAGGGCGCCACGGGCTGGCCTTTGGCAAACATCTCCTCGCGGACCCGCGAGGCCCTCCGGCTCTGCCTCTCATCCCGCCGCTGCTTCTCGGCCCAGCTCAGCTCCAGGTAGGGCCGCCGGTGGCGTTTGCGCTTGGAAGGCCTCCTGCGGGGCTTCCTCCGGCCCAACGGGGCTTCGGCAGAGCTGCCCCCTGCGCTCTGGGTCCGGGAGCCCCTACCGCTCCAGCCCAGGCCACTGCCAGCCCCAGTCGGATCTTCTTCCTCTGAGTGGCACTCTTTCGGGGGTGTCAGGGGCAGGGAACTACCAGGGTCGGGAGGCTGGGGGCTGTTTGGGGGCTCCCAGGAGCACCACGGGTCTAAACAGAGAGGACAAGGAAGAGTGAATCACAGCCAGCCTGTCCCTGGTGCCGGAACCCTTCTGCAACCAGCCGGCCTGAGTTGACACAGGGTCCCTCTCTAGCCTCTCACCCTCTGCCACTGTTTGTTGGTTTATGGGCTCCTGTCTGCCGCCCGCCCCCCCCCCACAACGCTTCCCAAGTAAACTCATGAAAACAGCAGGAATTCTGCCCATGTATTTCACTTCAGAATTTCAGTGCCTCCAATAGTCGCTGTCCTGTGCCTTGCAGAGCACGCATGCAATAAATACTGTTTGGATGAAGGCGGAGAAAAAGGAGACAGGATGGGAAGTGGCTCCTGCTGTGTTTGCTTAATCAGCCCTCTTCCTAGAAAGATTGTCTTTCCCACAGAGTTGCCTTCATGGGTAAGCAACCTCAGAGCCCCTCACCCCCACTCTGTTCGGAAAGGCCCCATGCTTTGCTTTATGCTCTGCTGTTCTTGTCTTGAACTTCTGAACAATTTTTGAATAAAGAACACTTTGCACCGTGGCCTACAAATTATGTTGCCGATCTTGCTTCCAGCTATTTGCATAGCTGACTCCTTAGGGCTTGGTGCCAATGTCACCTCTTCAGAGGCCCCCCCAACCCTTTCTAAAGATCCCCCCATCTCCCCTTCCCAGTGACACCATCACTGGGTGACCCATTTAACATCCCACGTAGCATCTACCACAATACCATTTACCATCTGTCTTCTTCCTATAAGAATGTGTCTGTCTGGTCCACCACTATGTCCCTCTGCATGGCCCAAGGTACGTGCTCAATAAACAGGCTAAATGACATAAAGCCCATAAGAGAGGGGGATTGAAAAGACACCAGGACCAAAAAACCCCAAACAAACAGACATTGAGACATGAGACGCTCCTTTCTGTTGGTCTAGAGTCAAGAAGATGGAGTGTATTTATTCCAGGCAGAAGTTGGTATCCCTCTTTGACATGAGCAGCAGGAAAGAGGCCCTTGCTAGGGAGAGGAAGGGTGAACCTCCAGTCTGCAGCTGAGAGCATTCTAGAACTTATCTAAGAGGTGGAAAGGATTCTGTCAAGACAGTGTGTGTGCAGAGCATCTGTTTATCTCCGTCGTGGTAAGGGTGGGAGCACTCAGTGTGGGGGATGGGGAATGAATTGCTCTATGTCTGTGGTTTGGGGAATTCTAATTATAACCGCTACCATTGGCATGTTGCTTTACAATGCACACCACGGTTCAGAGACACCCGGGCCCACGTCCGTACGCTGGCGGTGTATGCAGCCCTATGGGAGCTGGAGGCGTGTTGTGTGTGTTTTGGAGGCCCTGAGGTTCTAGTCTTCATCTGGGATGGGGTATGTCAGAGTGTGTACGGAGTATGTGTGTATGTTTGTTTGTTGTGTCGTCCTGTTACTTCACCTGCAGGGAGATCGTCAATCGGGAACAGGCCTTGTCTCCACCAGTGTCTTGAGCCAACTGAGACAGAGCTTCTGCCCCACCCCAGAAGAGGCAAGGCCCCTGGCAGTGCCGAGACAAGGCGGCTTGTGTGTGCACAATCATTCACCTGCCCCCAGCCCTCAGCACGTGTCCCCTCATGATCCTTCCCCTCATCCAAACCATCCCTGCCCCTCAGCCCCACATGCCGCCTCCCTCCTGAAGGCTTGTCCCTTTACCACCATTCCCACTACTGCAGATAAGCAGTGTGATCTGGGTGAGTCATCTGCCCTCTCTGAACTTCTAACCCTGACATGTCATGAACTCCAAATTAAACAACTCCAGAAAACACTGGAAGTGGCTAGGTAGGGTGGGTTAGAGGAGCTGAGTCCCCTCCTCACCTTCAGGGACTTGTCAACTCAGGGAGAATAGGCAATGTGTTTGCAGCAAGAGCATGGGCAGAGAAAGTCTGGGTTCCTGTTGCCAGATCGGAAGGTGACGTTTCCTGAGAGCCTGATACAATGTCTCTCCCTCTCTCCTGGATTCTATGTGAACCCCAACCCCCATCCTAAATTACGAACCAACTGCTCAAACTCTTTTCCCTGTGTCAGACTTGGTTCTCAGCCTTGACAAGATGCAAGGCAGGGTTCTGGTGTCAGAAGGCCCTAAGTTTAAACTGTGGATCTTTTGTTTGCTGACTGCATGAATCTAGAAAAGGCATTTCAGCTCTGATAAGCTGAGCTTCTTTGAAATGGAAACAGTAATTCATACCTTGAAGGGCTTCTAGGATTTCATGGGATAGCACAGATTTGGCATCCTGGCATAGGGACTCGGTTAGACATACTGGTTTTCCAGATCTGCCAACACACCTGCGACAAGCGGCCAGGATCCCAGTTAGCAGGATCCATGTCTGGGCACTCAGGTGGTTGGGAAGGTGGGGCTTACCTTGGCCTCCTCCAGGGAGGCTGGTGACTCTGTATTACAGTTGGTCTGGTTCGGAGTAGCCACCTTCTTCTGCTCCAAATCTTTCAGCAGATGCTTCTAACTAATGACACCTGCCTTAAATAACAGAGAGCTAAGTCTTAAAGGAGAATTTTCAGGAAGACTGGCTGCCCAGGAATTTTTCAGCAAGAGCCATTTTGAGCATCAGACCTGCACATCGTCATTATCAAACGAAGGTGCTGAAGCCTCCACACCCTGGTTTTCATACCTCCAGCCAGCAAGGGGCCATCCTCCCGGTCCTGTCCCTCAGGCCCCAGGCCAAGGCTTACATCCTAGGCTGTCCTTCTGGAAGTCACTGAGGCCCAGGCTGGCAGCTAGGAAGCTAGTCCTGAGCTTTGTTCCCCCAGCAACCAAAGGGGGAAAGGTCTTGGCCAAGGGGGCGAAGATGCAGCAGTGACCTAGAGAGGCTGGCGGTAGAGTGGGTCAGCAGCTGGAACAAGAAAATATGGAGCAGGCTTTCCAAGGGGTCCTTTCCTCGCTGCCTCCAGAGGCCCCAGTCGTGACAGCACCCCACCCCCACCCCCCTCAGGCTGGGCTCCCAAACTCAGCACCTTGAGAAACAGATGTGGCCTGGGCCGAGCCCAGGGCTGAAGCCTTATCATCTCCTGGGCCTGGCCTGCCTCCCCCCTCTCCTTCCTCTCAGGACGGGAAACAGAGGAAAGGGGAATAAGTGTTCACACTACATGCAGCTGAAAGGGTAGCCCAACTGGTATAAGGATGGATTCCTTGGAAGAGGGGAAGTGGTCCAAGAAAGGAGATTTTGCAAAGGCGGAACTGACCTCTTTGCTGTCAAGGACTATGCACACGACTATATCTGTGTGTCTTCCTGTGCGACCGACCGCCTGTCTGTGCAGTTCCCAAGGCCTCAGCCCTACCTCTTGCTGCAGTTAACAGCAGCTCTGGTCAAGCCGCTCAGGCACTAAGGTGGGGGTGGGGGGTGGGGGTGGGGGGTTGGAAACAACCTGGCAGCGCGGCGCCTGCTGGGGATTGTAGTTCTTCTAGTTTGGAAAGCCGGGTGAAGATCCTGTCACGTCTACAGTCAGACCGAGAACTCCAAAACCCATCTGCCCTTGCGCGAGTGGCGGCCCGCGCTCACCGATGCCTTCTTTGACTGGTCAAACTGCCTGCCAATATTTTCACTTTCGTCAACGATTAGCTGTGCGGAAGCACAACAGAACCCGCCTTCCGAGATCAATTGAAGAGTTCATTGATGGCGTTAATCTTTACGGGTCAGAAAATAGATCCGGCCGAGGGGGGCGGGGCTGTGGGTGCGGAGGGATCCTCGGCCCTAGAGAAAGGCGACGAGAAGGATCGGTGGCCGCCGCCGCCATTTTGGGCTGGGAGGAGGCAGCGGAGGGACTCACTGCGCAGTGAGAGCACCCCATGGGGGGTGGTCCGGGCGCGGGGAGAGGCCGGGCCGAGTGGGCTGCCTGAAGTGGTAGCGCCGGGAGACGGCGGGGAGTGGGACCGGGGGCCGGGGGGGTGAAGGTTGCAGTCTTCCCGGCCGGGCCCGGTCCTCAAACCGTCCCGGCAGCCCCGCAGCTTCGCCTCTCACAGAGGGCGGGGTTTTGGGCAATTACCGCGTGTTCCCCGAGACCCCAGTTGGGGAGAGACTGGGTGAAACGACTCCCCTCTGCCCTTTTCACGGGGGGCGCAGATCCTGAGGCCGAGCTTTGCCAACTTCTTTCCCCACCCCCATGCGGCCTGGGTATGGCGGCGGGGCCCAGCGTTGCGGGGCCCCAGCTTTGACGGGCGAGGTGGGGGCGACGCCAGATTCCAAAGACTGGCGCCGCGGGGGAGGGCGGAGGTCCCAGCTCTGGCCGCGCGTCCTTCTGGCGTGGCAGGCAGCTGGAGGCCCCGAGGGCGGAGAGCCGGGTGAACCCACCATCTTCCCCCATACAGCAAAGCCATCCCGCGCCCCGGCCTTCGAGAAGGAACAGCCTTCTTCCTACAGTAGCAACCACTAACTCCCCCGGAACTAGGTAGATAAGAGGCTCGTGGAAACCTTCACGAACCCAGTGCTTGGAAATCTCTTGAGTGCTCTTGGCCTCAAGATTTCTTTCCAGCCCCGATTCTCGGAACGACCTGACCTTGCACGTCCCCAGCCAGTTTGGGAAACTCCAAAAACGTGCTGTTGCACTTCTCTTGAAAGTTTACACCAAAGAGGGGTTGAGTTTTTGCCCTTTACAGGGTTGGGGGACACAAAATAACCGAGTGGCCATGGCTCCGGGAATAAAGGTGGAGTGGCCCATTTCGGATGCTTCAGGAACATCTGTTTGCGTTTTGAAATCTGAGCCATGACTTTTACCAAAACTTTTGGAGAAATGGCTGCCCTCCTAGGGGAAAAAAAACGAACTAATTCCAACGTAATCTTTGTAAGACCACAAATTCTTTCCAGTTTAAAGAACGTTTCTCCCACAAACTAAACAAAATGGGGAGTATTTTGCCACTGGTGCATTGTTACTAGGGAACCTCTATTTTGAATTTCCAAGCAATTGAAAAATCACTTCTGTGGATCCCAGATGCTACCAAGATAGAAATTGCAGTTTTGAGCTACTTCATATTTGTAGCGTTTGGGAGGGGTGGGGGAGACCTGCTTTCAAAAAAATAAACACTCAACTTTATATTACAGCTATAGCAGTTTAAGGATTGAAGTTTGATGTGAAATTATTTTCTTGAATTACAGATTAAACCTTCTTGTTTTCTACTGCTCAAAATCAACTTCAGAGAGATTTACATACAGTTCAGGGATATCTTAATTATTTTGTTGCTAAAATGTCAGTTAAAATTATGCTTAGGTAGACTATGAGAGTGTCTGTGTAGTCAACTTTACCTTTGAGGGTACCTTGTGATGAATCTCATTGCCAGTCACACTTGGTCACATCATTCCTGCGCCTTTGGCTTTATTAGCAAGAACCTTGAAAGGCTTTTGAGAACCGAGGCCGCCCTCCTATTAATTTTTTTTTAAAGTTGTAAATGACAATTCCATAGCCTTATCTATATTCTCCCCCTACTCTCCAGATGTTCTCAGAAAAAGTCTTAACAACTGGATTGCGAAAATATGATCGCTTGACTCGATTTTTCTTTCTTTTTTTTTTTTAAGATTTTATTTATTTGAGAGAGAGAGAGCACATGAGGGGGGGAGGGTCAGAGGGAGAAGCAGACTCCCTGCCGAGCAGGGAGCCCGATGCGGGACTCGATCCAGGGACTCCAGGATCATGACCTGAGCCGAAGGCAGTCGCTTAACCAACTGAGCCACCCAGGCGCCCGCTTGACTCGATTTCTTAAGCCAAAATTTGAAACACTAAATGCAGTACACTTGATTCATACTGTAGGTTGACTTTTGGCTTAAGTCCTGTGAATTTTACACTGTTCTTCAGATCAAGAGAAGATGGGAGTTAGGAGAAGCTAACATTAACTTGGTAGGAGTTAAGTTAAATAGTCTTAGGAGCTGAAAGGGGGGTTAAAGATTATCCTTATGGTTCTTCTGTCAATTTAATGGAGGAGGATCCCAGACTCTTGTGATTCATCCTCCATTGTGAAGTAATGTAGTTAAACCTTTGGATGCTACTAGGTGGAGAATACTGTGCCAGATGCAGAAATGTGTTACTCATTTATAAAGATGAAAGGTTACCATCTTTAAGGTTGAACTACAAGCTTTTCCATTCCTTGATAAGAAAAGCTGGGAATAAACCCAGTTTATAAATGCTCTCTTGGTTATCTTCTGAGCAAAACACAGGACTGGAAGTTAGGAACTCCCAAGTTCTATTTCTTTGTGTGCTACCACTGTCTTGATTGGCTTGGCCAGGGGCCAAATCCTGAAGATGAATCCAAACTGGTCATTTTGTTGCTGAGTCTATTGTTCATCTAATGTTCAACCAGACCTTCAACTTCCTCCTCAGCTATCCCCTTTCAGATGAGTTTCTTCGGGGTTTATGACAAAGTCTACAAACCCTATGTGCCTCAGTTTCCTGATTTGAAAATAATGCCATTGCTACCTCCCACGTACCTTGAGGATTAACTACTCTTTAGTAAACATTTATTTACCAAAATAACCAAAACTTTGTTATTTGGGAATCTAGAACTTCTGCTTCAGAGGTTATTTGGGGCATTTGGGAGGCCTGCCTTACTGAAATGTGGCCTTGGTTGCCCTTGGCAGCACAAAGGGTGGCCATCCAACTAGGCTGAACAAGGGTCAGTTTCTTAGGGTACCAAGCAGTTGTTGCTAGGACGTCCTGGATATTTGACCCTGAGGGCCAACTCCTGGGGCCCGGTGGCTGTGTGAGAGCAGGATTCATTGACGGGTAGGATTGATTCTTTGCAGCAGTCCTCTTCAGGATGAAGATCCTTCCTTCTGATTTGATTTCCATAATAACCATTTTTTTAAATTGTGTTTATCTCTCACCATCTTTTTCTTTAATTTTCTCCTTTTAAATTGCTCACATGTTTGCCGTTTTAAGTACACTTTTAGGAGTAACTAGAGAGGAAGGTAGAACTAACCTCTTAGACATTCCTTTCCATCCTCCAGTTCGGTTTCCTGCCTTTGCCTAACAGTTATGCTGGAGTTACCCAGGTCTGCAGAATGCTCTGTTTAAAACAGGCTTCAGACTTCAAATTAACCTCCTCTTCTGACCCTCTGGAGGCTAGCGCACGTTCTACTGAGTATCTCACAAGAGCAGTGATGCTATCGTTTTCTCAACTATACTTGTGCATGGGGCACTCGAGTTCCCACATTTTCCTTCAGGAATAACCTTTTTGCTCACTGCAGACCCAGGGCTTTTTAACACTTCGCACAAAGTCAGTGGATGTGTGAAATGGAATATGAAGAATGAGAGTATGATTTCCTTCTGAATTTTTGCTCTTGAAAAAACTTTTAAGCCAAATGTAAGTGCTCTTGGTGCTGTGTTGAGAGATTACACTAGCAATTTCAAGAAACTTACCAACAGTTTCCTATAGCAGCTCAACCATTTGAAAGAATTTGTTGGTGTGCAGAGGTTTATTAGTAAACTACTAGGATTGTTCCTGCCCTTGACCTTGTTGATAACATCATTTGTCATAATTGAACCACCTCTAAGTAAAACCCAAGAAAAAGTTTATTCAGGAGGATATTTGTGAGAGCTTAAGTATTGATCTGTCTAAACTCAGCCTTTGTTTTTTTACAAGAAGGAGAATGAGGTGGTAAGCTTTCCAGTATTCAAAGACAACTGGGTCAAGATTGAATCTTTGCCTCCTAGACTGTATATTCTGTCCCACTTGGAAAGTATGACTGTTACCTTTGGTCAGCAGATCCCACTGTGTTCAGGGCCTGAATTTGACATTTTCTTTACTTTAAAAATTAATTTTCATTTTTAGCATCAACTATCCTCACCTTATGAGAAATAATAGTAAAGTGGAATTTTATCCCAATGTTCTTGTCAAATTTGAAAAATAATTTCAAAAAACAAACCTCACAAACTCAAGTGTACTTAGGTACAAGTACTATCTCAGCTCTAACCAATTTTGCCATCACAATGATGTGAATATTTGTTGCTAGCTGTTCTGGGTGTAAGTGGCCAGGGAGAATCCCGTGGTGCATTACCTGACGTTTAACTAAATATAGCCAGCTCTTGATTTTCTGAAGGTAAACTGTTCAGTTGTGGTTTTGTTTTTTGGGTTTTCTCCCCCCTATGGATTCCCTCTTGAATTTCTTTTTTTTTTTTTCTATAACTTGAAGTCATTAGGGTAAAATATATTTATTTACATTTTCCCAAGCAAAGGATTTTAATTTTACTCTGGATGAAGGGAAAATTAAAATACCAATCAAATGGGCAACTGCTTTGGTCTTAAAAAGAAACAGTAAGGGGCTGGCTGAGTTGGTGGAGCTGGTGACTCTGGATCTCGGGGTTGTGGGTTTGAGCCCCACATTGGGCATGGAGATTACTGAAAAAAAAAAAAAGCAGTAATAGTTATATCAATGGTAGCTTACTTTTGTATAACACATTTTCATGCTATCTTGTTTAATGCTGATAGCCGTTTTGTAAAGTTGGCACAGCCCCATTTTGGTGATGAAGGATGAGGCTCAGTTGTTTCCAGAGTTACACTGCTAGTAGTATATGTTAAAGATAGGACTAGGACCCTGGTTTTTTGACTCCTAAACTAGGCTAATTTTTATGTTTTCTCTCTTTAGAGATACCCAGTCCATTTATTTTATTTGACAGAGCACACAAGCAGGGGGAGTGGGAGGGAGAGGGAGAGGGAGAAGCAGGCTCCCCGTGGAGCATCCTGGGACCCTGGGATCATGACCTGAGGCAGACACTTGACTGAGCCACCCAGGAGCCCCCCCTGGTCTATTTTTCCTGAATTAAACCAATTTGGACCTCCCTGGCCTTCCCCCAAACTGAGATCTAAAGGTCCCTATCTCCCAGGGGCCACTTTATATTCTAGGCTAGCCCCCCAAAAGTTTTCCTTGCTCAGAGGAGGATTAAGCTTTCCAGCCATCTGTCTCAAAGTTTAGGAAACACTTTGCCCTGGCTGGATACCCTGGCGCCTTATGATGAGAAAGGGAAAAAACAAATTGCCAATGTGTAAGCATGGTCTTTTGAGCAGCTCGGTTAAAATGTCTGGCAGAGAGGACTTTAGTGAAAGGCTAGAGATCCTCAAGTGATTTGAAGATCATTTGTTATCACAGCCCACCCCCCATTAATGTAAGTAATTCAGTCTTTTTCTCTGTCCTGAGAGCAGTGTACTACTCAAGTGTTTTAATGTAGAAAGTGTTGATAGAAAACTGAAATTTCACACAAACCTCATCATTCTAAGAACATAAATGCAATACATACTATAAAGTGCCTTTGGAAACAAAGTTCAGATAGTTGCATATCTCAAGGTAAATCAAAGTCATTTGTGAGTAAATTAACTATTTGTGTATTTTTAAAGACTAAACTGAATGTCTTCTAAGAGTAAAACATACTTTTTTTCTGATGATAAATGTACTTATAGAGTGTTCCTAAGACTGATAGTGGGGAAAACAAGATCATTAACTTAAATCCATCTTACTAAGTTCTACAATCAGAGGTTATCACTGCTGCATCCTGTAGTGCAGTCAAAATGAGGCTTCTCTGCATATAAAGCCAGAGGGCAGTGTTGCTGCCATTCCACCAAGCAGCCCTGTTTCTGGGACTACTGCATGACGTCATAGCAGAAGGAAAATTAAAAACACGAAGAAAACTATTTCAAAGTAGACATTTAATGTAATTTTTATTTTTTTTAAGGATTTTATTTGACAGAGACAGTGAGAGAGGGAACACAAGCAGGGGGAGTGGGAGAGGGAGAAGCAGGCCTCCCACTGAGCAGGGAGCCCGATGCGATGCGAGGCTTGATCCCAGGACCCTAGGATCGTGACCTGAGCTGAAGGCAGACATTTAATGACTGAGCCACCCAGGCTCCCCTTAATGTAATTTTTAGGCCAAAAAAACGGATCATACATTGTCTTCAGTGGACCATCTGCCAGAGTAGGACCAGCTTAGTCCAGCTCTGAAGGCCCTGAGTCAGTTCTTGACCAGCATAATTCCCCTTGATTCATTGATTTGTGAGTGCTTATGCATAAGGTGCATTTCACTCTTGAAGTTCCTGCCACCTCCACTGTCCCATTTAGATACAAAAGCAAGCTTTCCAATGGGAGTTTTGTGTGTCCCCCCCCCCCCGCCTTTTCCTGCAGAGGTTTTTAACCTTCAAGGAGTTTGACAGTCTCATGGTTCTCTTGAACGCTCTTCCCAGAAAACTGTACATATAACACAAGTCTACTTCATGGGGTTCATGAATCCGAGGGCCCTTTCTGGATTCTAAGGCCCCAGGTTAAGGAACCCCTGTATTAATGATTTGAGCAGTGCATTTGCCCTAGGGAAACACTGACAGGGCAGGGGGAGATGGGCTGGATTAACCATGATGCGGAAGGAATAATTTTTTTTTTTAAGGAGATAGAAGTTTATTAAATACACCGCAAGGGAATGGCAGGCAGGACAGCAAAGAAGAGATTGTCTGCCAACAATCATCATTTCTTACTATTTGATTTGGGGGTGGAAATTAATTTCCAGGGTCTCCCTGCATTTTCAAGAACAACCATTCCAGAGCCTAAGCCCCTCTTAGAGGAGAGTGAGACTAGCGGCTGTACAGGGAATGATTGTACAGGGTTCCCACTCGGCCCATAAGGACTTAATTTAGCTCCTTTTCCAGAAGCTTTATATTTGATTTGCAGTGAGGGATGGGGGGGGATTTCTAATTTTGGTTTGACCCTCATGAAAAGGTGGAGAGCTCCTATTCCTTTTTTTTTTAGTATAGGGAGCACCTAAGTATTAGATAATTAGGGTAAGTCCTTGGAATGCCCCAAGCAACCATTTCCTCTATAAATCCAATATTCCCTACCTCTAAATGTCTTAATAAAGAACAGCCACAAAGTTTATCCAACCATTGCTTGCACTAAAAAAGCAGGGGGTTTACCAAGAGCCTTTTTCAGACATCCAGGAACTTCTTCCAGCCTTATTGGGGAAGTGGAGGAATCACTAAAAACCTATTTGTAGGAATGAAATGAGACTGTCAATTGTCTAACCTAACAAACTGCCAAATTAGGTTTACAGTTTTGTTAATAGACTTTCAAATGGCTGTTGAGAAGCAGAATTAAATTTTAAGCTTCTGATTGTAGCCACTTTCTGCTCCCCAAACACCCAACACTGGTTTCTTTTTCCAGCATCAAAAAAGAAAACCAAGGCACTAGAAAGCGAGCACACTTAGCTACTGAAGATAATTAAACTTTATATTTTGCCTGAATTGTATATTTAGCACACTAAAACCCATTCAAGGGAAAAATCAGCAAATTGAAAATTGTCCCATTGAAGATTGTTTTTTGCAAACTGACAATGATTTCTTTACCCCCCCAATGCAATCACTTAAAATAAATCACTATTTTGAATTAGCTCTAGAAATCACACTGAAACTATGTTACATTTACAAATATTAAATTTATTATACCTAGAATGAATTTAATGGTTCTCAGATTTGGCCACCTTATAGCTCCGTTTAAGGAGGGGATTTTTTAACAGAAAAATGCATTATAACTTGGTCAAGTTACTTACACATTAAAAAAAAAAAAAACTTCTAAAAAGAAAACAAGAAAAGCAACCCTTCAGTTTCACATAATTAAAGAACAGGAGAAAAGCACGCAAGCTACATCATAGCTAAATTTACCAAACCAACCAAAGCCGGGGGGATTTTCTCTTCTGATTATTGTCATAAAAAGGTCCACTGTCTTATATACACATGTGTATAATGTTACATTCCATCACTGTAAAAAGTCCCCTTTGCCCCCTCCCCCCAAAAAGTTTCAGTCTAGTCTCCAAACTTGGACAGCGGCGCTCGCTCCTGCTGCCGGTGCAGTTCGTTCTCCGTCAGCAGCTGGAGGTTCTCGGCGCGCAGCCGGTCCAGCTCTAGCTCCAGCTCCCGCACACGCGCGTCGTCGCCGCCCAGCCGCTTGCTTTCCAGCCGCAGCCGGTTATTCTCGTCCTCCATGCGCGAGAGGCACTTCTCCAGCTCCAAGTACTCCTTGATGAGCTCCTGCTTGCTCATGTTCTGCAGACTCTCCGCGTGGTACCGCTCGTAGGTCTCCGAGAAGTCCCGCTGCAGAAACTCGCTGCCGTCTCCTCCCATCCCGTCGCTGCCCCCATCCTCCTCGCCCGCTTCTTCCATGAAGTCCTCATCGCTGGTGTCGTCGGATTTGGCAGCGGCCCGCTTGGGGTAGAGACCGGTTTTGAGATCCGGCTCCTCCTGGTCGTGATCATCCATGAGGAACTGCGTGGTGTTATAGGGTGCGACAGGCTGGCCCTTGGCGAACATCTCAGCTCGAATCCTTGAAGCTCGCAGGCTCTGTTTCTCGTCGAACTTTTTCTTCTCCTCCCAAGTCAGCTTGTAGTACGGTTTCCAATGCCGCTTCTTCTTGGAGGGGCGTCTCCTATGTTTTTTCTTGCCCAGCTGTCTCTGCTGCTGTCCCCACGCCTCCTCGCCCCCTGCAGCAGGAGCCCCCAACTTGTTGGCCTCGGAATCATGACATGGCTGTGCGAGAGGCTCGGCCTCGGGCCTCGGTTCCCCCCCAGCCCCCGGCGGGGGGGCTCCGCCAGCGGACAAGTCGTCCCCATTCTGGCCCTTCTTGCCTGCTTGCGGGCAGCTAGGTTCTGGACAGACGGGGTTCTGAAGGGGAGGCGGCTGCGGCTCCAAGCTCCCTTCCCCCTCCTGCCCCGGACGGCCACCCGACTGGGGGGACGCTCTCGATTGCCACCTACTGTCCTCCTCGGGCACCCGCTCCTCCGCGCCTGGGGGGCGATCGGGGTTCCGCTCATCATGAACAGCAACAGCACCTGTACAGTTGCTAGTTTGAGGCTGGTGCTGGTATTCTGACAAGAGTGGCTCGGCCATGGCTAATAGAGTCCTCTTCTCGAAGTTTGAAAAATTTTGGCTGTAAGTCCTTAATGAAAAAAGAGGTTTTTCTTTGCTTTTAAAAAATGTCCAGCAGAGTCCTCTTCGGTCTGTAATTCCTGCAGTGACGCCTTTAGCAGGTCCTTCTGTAAACAAACTCCAATTGCAACTTGGGAGAGCTCAAGTCAGTAAAGGGTTAAGTGCCCACAGCGCGGCCAGATAGCGGGTCCAAGGGGGTGCAGCAGCAATAACAGTACGTAATGTGCAAAGGAGGTGGACCTCAAGCCTCCCCGCAGAGCGCCCCCACGATCGAGGAGTTGGTGGGAAAGGAGATGAGGTTAAAGTCCAACGGGTTAAACCCAGCCCCGAAGGGGTTAAAACTACCCGATGACGCTGCCTCCGAGGGGCCGAATCCACAAAGGGTTAAATCCCCTGCCGCAGAGCCCACAAGGGGTTAAAGTCCCAGAGCCACCTCCTCCCACTTCCACGGGTGTCGCTCCAACCCGAGCTCCCAGTTCCCTAGGCCCGGCCGGAGCCTCAGCCGAGGACAGACAAACTCATCTCCCCTTTGGCTCGATGCTCGGCTCAGCTCAGATCTCCACCGCCTCCTCCTCTTTTCCTCCCTCCCTCCTCCCCCTTCCGACAGCAACTCTTCCGCCTCCTCCCCCAACTTCCCCTCCCAACCTGCCTCTCCACCTGCCAACTTCCAACTGCTGCCTCCCAGCCCTCTGCGCCCCTTTTATATAGAAGCCTGTCCGCCCCGCCCATGCGCATGCGTAACGGAGTCCCCGTCTCAGGAAGCTGGGAGTCGTAGTTTCCATCCCTCAGGCCCGCCGTCCTCGCGCGCCGTGCGACGTAGCCAATCCCAGAACGCGTAGGGGGCGACTTCCAGGCCGCCTCCTTCCATTGCATAGCCCTCGCTAGAGAAACGTGAGTGACCATTGGCCAGGAGTCACACGTCTCGCCGAAGAAGGAAAGCCAATCGCAGAGAAGATGGGGCGGGCTTTGGACCATACCATTCTGCTTCGGGAATACGAGAAGATTCGATGGCCTCTGAGGGCCTACACAGAATATTTTTATTAAAAGGTGCGTTTTAAAGGGTATTATCGTATTCTGTCCTCAGCGGAAGGGTTCCGAAGGTCATAAGCATTTGTTAGCTAAAGCAAAAATGGTTTATTCCTAAAAAGTAGTCCCTACAGTGTAAAAGAGGATTAAATCCTATAAAGAGAGATGTTGGCCTATGGCTAATAACTCTCGATTCTTAAGATTACAGGAATGGCTCTAAGGTGTGTGTGGTTAATGCCTGCGACTGATATTTGCGGAAGGATATTGTGAACATATTTTGAAAAAAACGAAAAGCGTATGAAGAAGTAAACAAATGAAAAATAAAAAGTGCCGCCTTAAAGGGACAGTGTGACTGCATTAGTGCAGCAACCCCGGACTAGGCCTTGGAGGATGAGAAGGCAGGTTCGAGTCCCGGGTGACTTCCACCCTCGGATTGGCCTTGGGACCGCTGGACGAAAGTGGCCTAGCCCCAGTCCAGGCCTAGTCTTTCAGGGCCGCGGCTGCCCCAGGACCAGTGCAAAACGGTGGGCCGGTGGGCCGTGACCGAGCCTCTCGCCTGGGCGGGGATCCGGGAAGCGCGGGGTGTGCACCTGGGGCTCCCAGGAGACCCGGCGTGGGAAGGCCTCGTCCCCGGGCCTCAGCTTCTGTCGAAGAAAATGGCCTCCTGGGGCCGACCGGGAACCTTTCCTGAGCTCAGACAAGGCAGTCCGGGCCAGCTGATGGACCTCTTTGTGGGGAGGTGGGAGAGAAGGTTCAGAATTAATCCTGAGTTTAAATAATCAATCTCTCCATCCATAGAGGCTCTGCTCATTAGTGGGCGCTGGGCAGCCCTGGGAGGGAACGGAGCCAAAGGAAGAGGACGTCTTGCCCAGAAATGGGGGCAGGGGGATGCTGGCCCAGGACTTTGGGGGTAGACTCATGGGGGAGGGAAGGTGACACAGTCTCCTTGAGAAAATTCTCCAGATTCCAAGCTCCAGCCCAGAGGACAGGGCCGTGGAGTAGCCTAAACTCTCCGCTGTAATCATTTAGGCCTAAAATCTCAGGGTAATAACAGCCTCTCCCTCTTGCCACACACCCGTGACCCATTCTTATTATTTCTTTCTTAATAGCAACATTTTACATCCCGGCCTCTTTCTAACATATAACATTTTTTTACACACAATCATTTGACCCCACCACAGCCCAGTGAGTTAGACAGGGTAGGGATGATTGTCTCCATTTTAGAGATAAGAAATCTCAGACTCCGAGAAATGAAGTGACTTGTCCAAGGTCACATGACAACTAAGTGGCAATTCCTGCTAGAACGAAGGTCTTTTTGACCCTCGTGTCATTTTTCTTTCACAAAATTCTTTTTTCTCAAGAACTTTGGATTTAGTTCCTTTCTATTTCCAACAGCTTCAGCCTAATTAAAGCCCTCGTTTCTTCATTTAGCAAACATTTGTTAGGAAGGAACAATGATGAATAAAATGTCATCCGTGCTGCACGTGGACAGTGTGGAGAGGCTGTTAAACCACTGTGAGTCAAAACGACAAATGAAGAAAATCCTGGCTAGGGTCCTGTGAGCCAAGCTGCTCAGGAGTTGGGAATTAGGGACAGGATTCGTAGGGGACATGTCTCCTTGGTGCTCTCAGAAGGATGAAGGGTTTTTAGGCCCAGTAGCATGAAGAAGGACGTTCTTTAAAGAGCAAGCGTCATGTCCAAAGAAAGGACTTGTCTGGGAACTCAGGAATGGTTCCATGGGGAGGTGGTGATGGGCATGCCCCAAGGGAGAAGCAAGCAAGAGTGCCTCTGGGGCACATCCACCTGTTTTGAAATTGACCACTCCAGTCCCTGGGCTTCCGAGAAAAGCCTGCCCTTCTTTGTGCTCCTTCATCAGTCATGCAGGAGACTCCTGTGAGCAAGAGCTCCCCCTCACATCAACAGTTCCCTGAGGAAAAGAGGTTTTGCAGAGAACTTGAATGGGAGTCAGAGATCTCTTTATTGTTACCACATTTTCAGACTCCAGAGGACTCCTGGGTACCCTCATTCAGGGGGATTGAAAGGTAACAGCTGAGCCCAGCCACCCTTAGTTTATTGGACAGGACTCATTTGTCATGTGTGGGGAGCGGAGGGCAGAGTGATAGGTTGTGGAATTCTAGAATTCTGTCAAACAAGAGGCCGGGCACCTTGATATTAGCTGAGTTTTAACCCATTGCCAGGCATTTTACATGTCCTGGGCATTTAAAGCCCAGGACTGGGGATGCCTGGGTGGCTCAGTTGGTTAAGCGTCTGCCTTCGACTCAGGTCACGATCCCGGAATCCTGGGATCGAGCCCCACATCGGGCTTCTGGCTCAGTGAGGAGCCTGCTGCTCCCCCTGCTTGTGCTCTCTCACAAATAAATAAAATCTTAAAAAACAAAACAAAACCAAAAAACCCAGGCCTGCCTTATAATGAGATCTTCATCCTTATTTTACAAACAAGGCAACCCAGGTTCAGAGCAGTTACGAAGCTTGCCCAAGTCCCACAGCTAGTTGTGTGCCCATCCCTGCATCCCCAGCATCGCTTTGGTCCCACTCCTGCTGGGGTCCAGCTTTAACACAAGGGTTTATTCAGTCTCTCTGCCTGCGCCCCTGGGCTGGATCAGAGAGCACCAGGGCCTGTGTGTCTGCCCTCCCCACCTCGAGAGAAGGACTGACGGAGTGACTTGAGGCTTCCAGTAGGTCGAATGATAGCCAGCCTCGGGTCAAGGCTCGGGGCGGATAGAGGGAACTCAGAGGAGTTTAAGGGTCTCCAAGAAGGGGCCTTCAGAACTGCCTTCTCCTCACCGAGGGCAGGAAGGTCCTGGAGCCCAGGCGGTGGCAGCTGCAGGGGCTCAAGGCTGCTGTGGCCCTCGGCAGTTGGGGCTCCTGGCCAGTGGCCTCTCGCGCTAAAACTAGGGAGGCGCTCGGAGCGGCGAGTTCCCCACCGAATACGGGCCACTGCTGGAGCCAGAGGGGCCCGGGGCGAAGGAGTAGGAAGCGCGACAGGGCTGTCGCTGACCAGAGGGAGACCAAGGCCGCCAGGCGGTGGGAAAAAGAAGTTCGGAGTCCGAGCAGCCGGCGGCGCCCGCGGCTCTGTGCCCACGCGGGCGCTCTGCCCACCCCGACGGGGGCTCCCTGCGTGCGGCCCCGCCCCCACTCCTCAGGGCGGGGCGGGGACTAGGCTCCCGCTGGGTCTTGGCCTTCCAGAAAGTTCCCTGGGAAAGCCCGAACGCGGAGGTCACGCCAGCTGTGGAGGGGGAAGCGGGCGGTGGGCACTTCCGGGGCCCCCATCCCTGCGGCCTGCGCTCGGCACAACGAGCAGCCGCCCTTCTCTCCAGGGGGTGACCCGGCCTCCGCCCGTGCCCCGCGAGCTTCCTCTCCTCCCCCCCCCGCCCCGCCCCGCCGGCTCGCAGGGCCTCCCCTCCGACGGGGCGGGGGGCGGGGCCGCGCCTTGGCCCCACCCCCGGCGACAGCGGAGGGCCCCCCGCGCCCCTCCCTCGGCCGCCCCCCCTGCCCCGGGCCCCGGGCCCCTGTGCTCGCCGCTCCTGCTCTGGGAGGAGGGAAAACCGCCGGCCTCTCGGGACGGTCCTCGGGGGCGCTGGGGGAGGGGCAGGGAAGAGGCTTGTGCCTTGCGCGCCCGGACCCGGCTTCCCGCCTCACTCCGTGGGGACCCAGACGGCAGAAGATTAAGGTCTTATTTTATTTAGTGAAACATTCGTAAGTGAATCTTCCGTGAAGACGTCCTGAGTGTGTGTGTGCAGGGGGAGGGAGGCCAGCAAAACGCAGCTCACTCCCCTCCCCCCCAACTCGGCCGGGCCTCCGGGCCTCCCTCCCTCAGCCTCTCAGCCAATCATTCTTCCAGGCCCCAGCCCAAGTCCCAACTTGCCCAAGAGCTGGCCCTCCACCCGGAGAGGCTGGGGTGGGAGAAGAGTCAGGTGACCCAGAGGGAAGGGAGGGCAGAGGCTGAGACCCGGCAGCCCCGCCCCCGAGTCACGGCCAACCCAGAACCCGGGACGTGCACCACTCCTACGCCCTCACCAGGGAGCCTCGATGTTTGGGTGGGAGGGGGAGAAGGCGTCCGAGTGAAGTCGCGGGGAAGGATGGGCTCTTAAACGCCCCCCCCAATAAGGGAGCGGTGCAAAGGCAAACACTGAGTCGTGGGGGGACGCAGTTAATGCTGTTCTTCTCCTAAACCCTAGGAAGGCTCAGGGCACAGCAGGACAGGGGGCTCATAGCCACCTTAGTTGGCTGCAGAGACCCCTCCACTGAGAGTCACCTCTTCTGGGTCCGAAACTGTCGGAAGAGCCACTGGACGATGAAGGGCCACAGGAGGAAGAAGAGCACCGTGGGACCCGAGAGCCTGAGGGGCCATGGCCGGGCACTGGGCGGGGTCCTCTGCTGCCAAGAGGGAGGGAGTCAGGGGCCAGCCCAGGCTTCAGCACATACTGGGCCCTCCTGAGGAACCTGCTTCCGGAAGTAAGCGGGAGCTTCGTCTGGGGGAGCTGCCTCCCTAGGAATGTAAGAACTGGGGCAAAGAAGGCCCTACATCCAAATCTGCACCACTAGAAGTGAAGGGACCCTGGGGTTCCCAGTGTGTCCCTGACAGCTGACCTCCAGTTCCCTCCCACATCCTCCTCCCAGGACAATCCC